CCAAAACTATCGGAGCCTTATGTGGTTCGCCACTCCAAGTGCCGGTTTCTATGACAGAGCAGCAGGTGACTATAGGGGTTCGCTGTTGTGTGTAATAAAACACAAACACAAACGGTAAGATTCGTGCCTTTACTTAATATTTTTCCAATCACAGTCCATGTGAATTCTCTATCTTCCCCTGAAATTAGTTTTAAACAGTTTCGTTTTCAATCTGCTCTTTTATTCATATGGACAATCCGAAAGAGAGTAACCAAAACCGGTGCACAAGAGTGCACGGGCAATGGGTTGTAAAAATTGAACTGATTCGCTCATATGCCGCCTGGTGGCGGGGGGAGGGGGAAGGTGATGTTGTATTATCGTCGGGACAGATTCGCGGCGAGTTCCTGCCAAGACTACAGAGAGAGAGAGAAAGTCAGACCTTCGAATGGAAACCGTCACCTTTGAGGTATACAGCCGGTGACCAATATCGTGAGCGTGGCTACACACATTTTCCGCAGGGTTAGTCAATACTTTTGGAGTCTATTGGTTTGTACATATATCTGCAATCCAGCAACGGTTACGATCGGTTGTCAACCGGACTTAATAAGCAGCCAAAGCCAGAATTGTGCACAGGGCAAGGAGTATACCCGTCCCTCTCGGTTGAAGAAAGCCCACCGCTGTGCGCCAACCCAAACAATCCATCAGTTCAATTGTGGTTGCGGAGACACTTACGTAGGCAGAACAGAAAGGTACTTACATAATCGGGTTTGAGAACACATTTCGAACTGGGTTTACCGCAAGGTTACCATGTTAAAGTCCACACGGCCGGTGGCTGCTATGGACCGTGCCTATAAACCACCAAGCTCATCGACTTCCAAGCATCTAAGGATGATGCAACATCTTGTGGAGAGCGAGAAAGCATTTCGAGTTGGTTTTACTAATGATAACACCAGAATGCTCACGACCATCAAGGCGATTGCAATCAACCGATGGAAACCAATTCTGTGTGTTAACTAAAGGACTTGTTAATCACCTTGGTGACGCTTCTTCCTACTTACAAGGGTTTATATTGTAATCCATTCACAAACTCTGTATAAACATTGTATTTGTTTGCAGCAGGCACCAGTTGGGATGCGGCGAAATCGTGCAGTATTGCTGCTATACTGGCTTCTCTTTTCGTATCTGTTTGTGGCACCTTTATTCGTGTTCTTTTTTGTGTCCAGTGTAATAAGCTCTGGGATCTATTTCTGACAGTTTGTCACACACACGTGCGTAAAACATCAATCGATCAAATCGAGTGTGTGTGTGTGGCTTCCGGATTTCTTCCGCGATCTCTCCCATCACTCATTAAACTGACAAGCGTGTATCTCAAACCAGATGTTCTGTGTTGTTTACATGTCTTCATCGGCGAATTTTTCCTCTCGCTTACAGACATTTTTCGTGTCATGAACACCAAAATTGTGCTGTTTCACTAGTGAAAATCGGCCATCTAAGCCACACGAGATTTCAACTGGAGGGGGTTTTAAGCCGGATGACCGAAAATATGTTTGTCCCGCTGAACACGGATCAAAACGCGGTGTAATTGTCTCCATATACGCATATATATATATATATA